GGCTCGCTTACGACTCGGACGGCTCGCTTGATGGCTCGGACGGCTCGCTAAGCGGCTCACTTGGTGGCTCGGGCGGTTTGCTTACGATTCAGACGGCTTGCTTAGCGGCTCGCATGACGGCTTGATGCTGTCGGATGGTCTCATGTTGGAGGCGGAGCGCAAACGAGCAGAAGAGGAAACTACCGTGCATGCACACGGTCGATACCCACGTGCATGAATAACAGGTCCCGTGCGGTGCTGCCGTGGAGGCCCAAAGCGCGGCGCTTGTTCTGCTTTGTCCGGTTTGGGATGTACGTCAGTCCCACCGGCCGGTTGGGAATCGAAGTCGGCACGAGCCGCAGGTGGAGTCGGACTCGGCTCCACACGGGCCCGCGGCCACGCGATTGGATCCCTCACGGACAGCATCGGCTGAAGCTTTTCATCGGCTTGTTTCTGCCGATGATCTTGACGGAAGTCCAGGCAATCGGATCTTAATCAATCAAATCGGCGCAGTCTCGTCGCGTGTTCGTGAAAGACTGCGCCGCAAGATTGCATCACGGTCTCACCACGAGATGCGTCGACGCTGAAACTCGTTAGTTGTCGAAGGACGCCGTCCCAGCAGACTGAGTCACTGCAAACGGCGTTGATTTTGAGGTACGTCATTTGACTCACCATGGGATCAGCACGTACACCCCTACATGTCGTGCCACTGTCGATGAAATCTTGTTGGCAGTCTACCGAGGATTATGCTTACGGTCGTAGATGAATCGGTGAAGGTGCACGAGATACGAACTAGATGGTGACACAGAACGCAGAGACAACAATTTAGGCAGGTTCAGGCTGTCAGCTTGATGTAATACCCTATGTCATGTGTCTTGGGTGCATTGTATTATGAGATGAGGCGAAAACCACTACACCACAACACCGCTTCACCATCAGACATCTGACGCTAAAAATTATATTTGGCGATGAATGATCTGACGCTAAAGATAACTCAGAGACCATCTGACGCTAAATCCTCATTTAGCGATTTATTGTCTGTCGCTATAGATGTTCATGTTTAGCGTTAGCCCATTTGTCGCTAAAACCAGATATAGCGTTGATCTGTCTGACGCTAAAAAAAATGGGCCCCACGTCCAGCTCACGTGCCCTGTCTCTATAAGCAGTTTGTGTGCAAATTTTTGCCTGGCCCACAGTACAGCGACAAACCCTATACTCTTCCCATACGGTGCCCACGGCAAACGCACGCAGTCCCGGCCGCCTTATCCCATTGCTCGGCCATCGCTCCCCATCCACCCGCATCTATCTCTCCCTCACGACCTCCTCCCAGAAGACTGACGCCGGCGTTGGCGCCCCTGCTCCTCCGTTCCCAACGCGAGCTCTCCCTCCCTCCCTTCTCCGGCGCTGAGGTCGCCCTGCTCCCTAGACGGGCCACAGTGGCGCGGGTCAGGCATGGTGCACGAGCTCATAGCCGCCAACCATAACCCTAGCCGCCGGCCGATGGGGTGGCCGCCCTTCTTCTCCCCTGGCCAGATTGACGACGGGGTGGCCGCCCTTCTTCTCCCCCAACCGAATCTACTACGGGATGGCCGCCCTTCTTCTCCTCTAGCTGGATCCACGGCGAGTCGTCTACCCTTCTCCTCTGGCCAGATCCACGACATGGCAGCCAGATCCACGACGCGGTGGCTGCTGCGGCAGCAGGTTCATTGTTTCCTCCCTCTTTTTCCTCTCCTGCATTGTGGGCGGCGGATCCTGTGTTGTGGGTGGTGGATCTGGTGTTGTGGGGGCTCGGCATGGTGGTGGCTCCCCGAAATTTTGAACTGACCAGGGTAATGGATTAAGACCCACACGCTATGAAGGCCCTGAGGTTGATTAAGACAGTTTTTGTTTTATCTTACTACAATTTGGGGTCAATTGGGTAATGGATTGATATAAGGGCAAGTCACGTGTGGATTGATATAAGGGTTGTAGTATGCTAGTGGATCGGCCCAATGCAATTCGATCCTTCAAGCCGTACACTGTTCTTTTTGGCCCAGGACTATACGTGGGCTAGGACTCAATGGCTTCCGTGGGCTCAGCGTTGCAGACCTGCAGTTAAGCCGGTCCAACACGAACGTTAGGTTTCGCACGAGGCGGCGCTCGAGGGAGGCGTCGACGAAGCAGCCGTGCGTGACTTCGTCGCGGCGCATGTGGTCGGTGCTGAGGTCCCAGAACATGCGGATGTTGAAGCACCGGTGTCTTGACTTGCCCAACAACGCTGGTCTTGGAAGCACCGGTGTCTTCAGCACGTATGGTGAGTCGTGAGAAGCACAAGCATGTGCTTCTTTCACTTGTGTCGTGCAGTTTTCTGATGATACAAGGCTTATTAATTGAGTTTCTAAAATTGGCTTCATCATTCCTCGATCTGACTAGTATTGTGCTGACGTTTCTTCATGGCGACGACAATCATTTTGCATACAAGTGTCCTCTGGACTGCACGTCAGACCATGGTGACAGATATGGATCAAGCTCTGTTTGTTTAATTTGGGACTCACCATGGCCGGCATAGTCACCCAGGTCAGCTCATCAGCTATCATCGCAACGTACCGAACAAACTGCAATATGCATGAGGTACACTGTACATGGTTATAGAACCAAGAGAAGTTCTGCATCAGAAAAAACAAGACACAGAAAAGTGACGATGAAAGCAGCTGAATGTTCCTCCATTAATTTTGCAAAGCACAGTATAAGGCTCAAACTTAATTGTACGTACATGACCCCATAAAAAACTAGAAAGACAGCAGCTCGGCATGATCAAGTTTTACTAAAGAGCATAGTAAATTGAAACCTAGAAAAATCCAAGTGGGTCTACAGAGATTCAGAGAGCATGATCCAATACACATGAACAATGTTACTGCAATAAGCATGGCCATTGACGTCGATCGCACAGTAAGGCTGGATCGCGAACAGTGGAAATGCTGGGGTTCTTGCTCAATCTACTGCAATGGACACACGTGGTGGAGACAGTAAGCAATGGGCCATTGGCGAATATATCATGGATGAACTTGTTCTAGGTAGTGGCTGAGGCCGTACCGATGTACATCCAACCATTACCTGGGACATGTACACGACAAAGAATTAGCATCATTTACGAATAAACTCGGAATTTCTATGAGGACGGCCACATTGATTTCCGAATACGCTGTGCAAAGAAGAAACAGAGTTCACAACTAGATTGTGCGATCACCAGTTGTGCTAGTAACAAATGAATAAAAAGGATAATTAGAAGCATAACAAATGTAAAAGATTCTTAGAGACATAAAACTAGAATAAAATAGTAGGGAAAACAAGGTTATTTGTCATGGTAAGTTAGCCCTTGTTTAGTTTGAGAAATTTGGATTTTGGGGCTAATGTAGCACGTTCGTTTTTATTTGGCAAATAGTGTTCAAACATGGACTAATTAGGCTCAAAACGTTCGTCTCGCAATTTTCCACCAAACTGTGCAATTAGTTTTTCTTTTCGTCTACATTTAATGCTCCATGCACGGGCCGCAAACATTCGATGTGACAGGTACTGTAGCAACTTTTTGAAAATTGGGGTGGAACTAAACAAGGGCTTAGGGGTGAACATAGGGGCATCCATGCAAGTGGTAACTAGAAGCATAACAAATGTAAAGGATCCTTCAATGGGGATTTCATGGTCCTGTTATTAATGCATCCATATTTTGGAAATAGTGCAGAAGAGTTTCATCCCCATAAAACTCTCTCTACTCCTATGAAATTCTTATCATCTCTCTCTTCATCAATACGGTGCCACATCAGCCTATTTAATGCCCATGAAACTCTGATGAAACCCCACTGAGACTGGCCTTAGAGCCATAAAACTAGAATAAAATAGTAGGGTAAATAAGATTATTTGTCATGGTAAGGTAGGGGTGAACTCAGGGGCATCCATCGATGTCATAGTACTTATGGCGGCATGCGTAAGATTATTAGACAAGCTACAATAAGGGCAGTCACAATGAAAGAAACCGATGCGGTTTTCATAGCACAAGAAATCATCTATAGAAACTACCTTCCACAAAGTGAATGTGTCTTTGTGTAATAATTATTTTCTCTTTCTCTCTCCCAACTCTATCTTCTTTCTCCAATGGGAGTGTGGCACGAGCCCCTGTGGGAAACTGGTGGTTTCTCTCAATGGCGATTTTATGGTTTCTTGGTGCATTGGGTCAAGAGACGACCTGATTTCTTGATGAGAAACCATTTCTAGAATTTTTGCTCTATTTCTTCATTAATTACGTTGCCATATCAGCATTTTACCTACGTGACAAGTCATTTAATAAGGATAGAAACCATCATCAATACACTGTTGAGGCTGCCCTAATAAGTGGCTAAAAAAGTTATTGGACCGGCTAAAGAACCGAAAAAAGGAAGAGGATTACGTACATGCAAAGCAGGATCCATTGGCCATCAATTCCCATACAAATTTCAGGATGGTTGGGGTGGGCACGTGCCTCGTTCCTCAGCGCATCTTTTACTTTCATTGCCAACTCATCACCGATCGTCTCGTCTCCATCAAGGTGAACCCGAATCTGCACGAAGGGGACGGAAGGTGGCTTATGGTCGGTCGTCAACAAAAAATTCACTATCCCCAAATCCTCCTGCTCGGATATAGAATTGAAAACGTTGAAGCATGGGCATAGCTCCAGTGTGGGAACATAGATGGCACCGTTGAAAACCCGCAGAATTTGCACCGCGTCAAACATGGGAAGGCATCTGCCCTAATCATGAACCTTTCAAACACTTGTTTGGCGCCACCCACTTTCACGCCCGAACACGAAGAGCTGCAGCATGCAGAGGACTTGGATGTCCTCACTTCTAACTTGACCCACCTTTATGCGCAGGTAGGATAGGAGGAGAAATGACGCGGATCGATCCATGTCGGCAACCGACTGGTTCCATAAATAACAAGCCGAGATAGATTCCACAGGAGTCCACCGAGCGCTTCAAGATCAACTTCCACGTCATCTGAGATTACTACTTTTAGAGTTTGGATTTTGTGTAGTTTGCCAAGGGACCCCAACAGAACTCTGCACATGCTTTCATCCCATCTGCCTTCCTTGTAATTTCGAGCATAACCCATAGCACCCTCAGTTGCGTCAGATGGCCCAGCTCTTCTGCAATGTTTGTAGAATCCACATTCATGTGTAGCTGCTCCAGAGATGATAGATTTCTCAACCCACTTGTGGTTGGCAGCCTTGAACTGTCCCCAACATCAAGGCTCATTAATTGTCTCAGCCTGAAGATACTCAATGGCACTTCTTTTATACAAGTTCCTTGGAAGTCCAATGTCTGCAAAACTGTAGCTTCCCTATCTCCCTTGGGAGCTCGCCAGCATATCCAGTATCTGCTAGGCTTAGATACCTCAGGTGAAATAATATACCAACAAACTCTAGACTTGGATGATGATGAAGATTGCAATCTTCAAGATCCAGTACACGCAGAAGATTAAAGCATGAAAGGGGTGGCATAGTGTTAATTAAAGCATAACTGCTGATAGTAAGCGACCTCAATTTTGACATGTTGATTGTAGGCCAACTAGTATTGTGGATAGAGAGCCTGGGAGCCTTGTTTTCTGAAGATGTCATTTGCATGCAGTCACCACTTATAGTGGTAGAAAAATTTTCTTCTCTCGACAAGGAGCAAATGAGATCAAGCACCATATCATGAACCCGGCAAGAAAAAGGATTCATCTCATCCTCATCCATGTCTGCTGGCTGGATCAGGCTTCTATTTAGAAGCCCATTGAAATAACTCTGTCCAATCTCATATAAGCTCTGCCTCCCATCTCCTTGTTGGACAAATCCTTCAGCTATCCACCTCAGTATCAACCGATCCCACCAAATGGCATAATCTTCCGGAAATATACTTAGGTACAGTAAACATGTCTTTAAAGTGGGTGTCAGATCATAATAGCTAAGCAGCAATATCTTCCTCATACCATCAATGCTAGGATTGTTTGCTAGTCCCTTACCAACTGACTCACACACGTCATACCACACTTTTATATTTCTTGACTTATTAGCCAGCAAGCTAGATGTTGTAAGAATAGCTAATGGCACACCTCCGCATTTCATCAAAATTTTTTGAGATACATCAGAAAACTGTTTAGGACAATCGCTTTCGGAGCCAAATATCCGTCCATAGAATAACATTTTGGAGTTGTGGTGAGTAAGAGGTTTCAGCTTGTAGCAACCGCCAACATGCTCAGCAACATCAATTATGCGTGTAGTTGTGATTATTCTGCTTTTCAGGACATTCTCAGGTAGAGCACATCTTATTATCTCCCATGGTTCTGTATCCCATATATCATCTATAACAATGAGGTACCTACAAGTATGTAGCAATTGAGCATCTTGTAAAGCATAGTTACAGATGATTTGTAATATAAGCATATATATGACAATAAAAATCGCATAGGTAAGTAATAAGAATTTGCTTGGACAATTTATACAAAGTATAGAAATAAGTCCATTGTTACCCTTTTCTAGTATTTTTCTGATTCCTCCCCTAAACACCTAAAGTTATACAGTTAGCATTAGGATGGTATGCGCTCGGATGATATGGCAGCAGCTTTCGCTATAAATTGGTTTTGTTTTGGCAAATTCAGTACAGTAGACTAAATTCTATCCTTTGCAAGGTATCTACTCAGTTACCCACTGCCTCAAAAATAATGTTAAACACTGGTTCCACTAGGTGGGGTATGGTGAAGACAAAAGAAGGCAATGCAAGTTGAATAGCATAATGTTAAAATTTCATTGGGCATTATAATATGGAAAGAAGATACACACAGACGCCACACATACTCATTGACGACTGTAACCTACAATTCTACTGTTGGCAGTACCACACAAGATAGTACATACCTCTTATTTTTGAGGAATTCATGGACAAGATCGGTGAGATGCTGTTGACCCAATGCGGTGTTGTGGATGTCCTTGTACTCTTTCTTGTCAAGCTCATAAAGAATGTCCTTCAGAACTTTCATAATGTCCGGATCACGAGACATTGATACAAAAGCCGTGCAATTGAATTGCGGTTTAAACTTGTCATAAACTCCTTTAGCAAGCGTTGTCTTGCCTAGTCCTCCAAAGCCAACAATAGAGACTATCCTTTGTTCAGCAGACGACATGCCACCATGTTCTCTTGTCAACATGATATCAGCTCTTCCCTTGGCTCATCAATGCCAACAAGGCTAGCCGCTTTAGTGTACAGAGCTGTTATGCGAGGGTCCACTGAGGTTTTGGTAGGAGCAATAGAATCAACCTTGTACCTGTGTAGGGAGATGAAAATACCAGAACAAAGAGGCAACTAAAAGAAAATTTTGGTGAAATTCAAATGTGAAGTCTGTGATGTCCCGGCCCTGACCTGTCACGTCGCTCGGCCACGTCCTTGACACGCTCCTTGATGTCCTTGATCGCTTGGCTAATCTCATGGAGAGTCTTGGCCTTCCCCACAATAGTTGTCATCTTCTTGATGAATCTTTTGATGCTCCTTTTGCTGGGAGGTTCAGAGCCTTGAACACGCACAAAGAAGGTGTCAACTATGTCCTCCATGTCATAGGAGAGCTCCCAACATCCTGAGCCAAGATCTTGACTGCTTCTTTAAGCTGCGCCTGTGGCACCTCTCCAATGTCGCGGAGGGCGGCACGCATGCTCTCGAGTTCTCTTGTGACGAACACGATGTCCTTCTTGACTCCCTTGTGCAGGTTGTACTCATCCTGGAGCAGCTGGCCAAGTTTCGGAAGCAGGGTGCCCAGCGCCCCTGTGGCAAACTCCATGGCTCCCAAGGTCACTACTTATTATTAGTATTCCAGAAACACATGTGTACGTGGATCTAGGGATCAGAAAAAGTGATGAACGGTGCTCAGATTATACTGCAGAAGCAGAGTTCATGCACTAAAGAATTTTATGCTGTGAAAGAAAATGCAACGGTTTGAAATAGAAGAAGCAGGATGGAAACGGTTCCAGAAGGAAACATGGTCGTTTTATGTCCAACAAATATGAAACAATTTCTATGTCAAAAGAATTCCATCTCACCAAGGTCTGCTGGAGGCGAGAGGGCGCCAGTAGTCACCAGTTGGGTTTGGGTGTGGGTGGGAGGGCAGCTTGAGGAATGGGGCAGGAATTTGCTCGAACGGAGACGCAGAGAGCATTTTAGCTAGCTGCGAAGGCTGCATAAACACATCTTATACTATTATTACTTAGGGCCTCAATACGCGCAAGAAAAAATAATATTAGAAACACCTAAAATAATAAAAAGTATTTCGAAGTTAACTTTTGCACTCTAATCATAATTGTCAATAATAACCATTGTTAGACTCTATCACTGCAAAAAGAACATAAGCAACCCCTAATTTTTTTATCAAATTAACCAAACATGCCTTTATGTAATATAATATAATTCAAAATAACCCCTGAATCTGTACCTAAATTACTCACCTCTACCAATGTGAAAGATAATTCAAAATGACCACCAAATTTGCATCTGCATCTAAAATAGCAATCTTTGTTATTTTAAAAGATAATGAACTCTCTAAATTTGTGTCCAAATTACCATTGGTTTTGCTGGATATGCGTTTGCTGCTATGTTCAGTATGTTAGTAATCAATTTTGCATCTAGGATTAGATCACCTAGGCACATGTGTGATATCACAATTTTTTTTTATTTTTACCAAAACTTGCCAAAGTATCTGACAGGCAGAACCACGGCTAATTCGATTTGCATGAGATGGCGACGCTCTTTGAAGAAGCGGACATCCGGCTAGAAGCAGCAGCGTCATCACAATGCCTTGTCGCTCATGCTCTCGAAGCCATGAATTATTAGCAAGCAGCCAAGCAGGGGAGACCCGCGAGCCTGGGGTTATGAGGATCCGGAGGCTGGGGTGATGTAGTAGTACACAAGTATTATCCTGGTCGTGGCACATGCGAATGGGAGGCCGCAAATAATTCATGCTCCTCCTGCTCGCAGCGTCCACAACCTGCCTCTTGTCCTTCCACCTCCCATCCTAGTAGTAGGGATAGAAACGGATCGGATTCTCGTATAATCAAATCCGGATATCACTTGTTTATATATTTTAATTTGAATTAAACACAAATACAAATCCTACTATTACTAATTAGAGGCCCCAACAGAGGTATCACGTTGATTCTCACTAGATGCGTTAGAAAAAAAAAGATGTGTACAATATTTAATGAAATGATAGATCTAAGAAATTCAAATAAGAATGGTAGGCAACAAGTAGCCATTTCGCTCTGTCAATGTTTTTTAATTACAAAATTACTACACAAGGATATACAAGGATAGCTCATAAAAAATAAAGTTATCAATAAAAAATTCCATAATTAAATATATGAATTAATCTGTCATTATTTATACAACATATATCATGAAATTATAAACTATATACATAAAAGTTAATTTACATCAATAAATAAATAAATTAAATTATTAAAATAATTTACAACAATAAATATATGATGGACCAAGATTCTAGTGATTCCCATAGGGCCGATTACGTGGCAAGGGTATGGGCCGGCCCACAGACAGCCAGGAAGACACCCGTGTAGGGGGCTTCCACACCCGGGAGCACCACACAGGGATGTCACACAGGAGGCTCACCAACGTGCGTCCGTGTCGGGTTGCGGAGCACGCTGGGGATCTCGTAGGCCGGATGACGGAGACGCGCGTGCAGGGCTCACACGCCTAGGAGCACCGCAACATGGATGTCGCGTCAGGGGGAGCTTGGCAGCATGTGTCCACGTCGGGTCACGGAGCGCTCACGATGTGGAGCACGTTGACAAACTACAATGCGCTAGCCCGAGGCGAAGATGAAAGATCCAGACCCATGGGGACCAAATCCGATCGGTGGCCACCCAAGGATGCTGGTGCCAACGGGGAGGGGGAAGAGGCAGGGACGCACCAGCCCAGAGCGAGGGCGGCAGATCCAAGCCGTGGAGGGCCGGATCTACCCGCCGGATGCCCACAAACGCCGGAGCAGTCGGAGAAGAGAGGGAAGAGGCATGGGAGAACGGAGGTGGGGCTCGGCGAGAGGAGGCGAGGAGGTTGGTGTGACCGGCACCCCGTTTTTAGGGGCCGACGCGGGCTGCCGCCATCGCACGCCAGATGGCGGCGACGGTAGCCGAGGAGGAGGCTCAGAGGGGTGCGGGAGAGCGGCGCTGTCGGCGAAATCTAGTCGGCAGTCTGCTGAGGGGTATGGTCACGGTAGTAGATGAATCGGCAGAGGTGCACGAGATACAAACTAGATGGTGACACAGAACGCAGAGACAACGATTTAGGCAGGTTCAGGCCGTCAGCTTGATGTAATACCCTACGTCCTATGTCTTTGGTGCATTATATTATGAGATAAGGCGAAAACGAGGGGGTTCCTACCCGTCTTATATATCTCGGGGGTAGGGTTACATGTCAGTTGTATCTATCCTGATCGGTTACATGATATGTGTTTACAATGAATACAATATCTAGCATATCCGATCAGATTCTCCTTCGTCATCAAGGATGGCTTCACGTAGGCTTGCTGCGCACGCCGACCTGTGCCTCCCCTAGCGGCGTGGCCTATCTGTAGCCCTGTGGGTATCCGGGGTTATACCCCCATAGCTAGTCCCCGAGCGCCTTGTATCCGCTGAACAACACCGTCTTGAGCTTGTCCGAGCAGTTCAACATGTAGCCGATCGACAGCAGCAGGCGTCCGACCAGTTTAACTGGAAGCCGAGCAGTTAAATCAAATGACCGACCAGTTTAACTGGTCGGCCGACACCGGACTTACTCAAAGATAAAGTTTGCCGAAAGGATGTAAGGAGCTCAAGTAAAAAAAAATTAAGCCTTCACCTTAGGTGAAATGTGCCCACTTAGGTTCTGGGAAGCGAAGTTGGACGCTTAGCGTCCCTGACTTAGTTAGCGCGGAGGAACTTAGTCCCTCAACAACGAAAAAAGAGATGCTTAGCATCCATGCCTTAGGCAAAATTGACTCTTAGAGCCAAACAGGATGCTTGAACGATTGCAGTCTATGACTTAGTTGCTCTGAAGAAAATGGGGTCCTAGAAATAAGCACATTCAACGCTAGGTGAAGTGTGCCCACTTTGTCACCAAGCCTGACAGTAGGTGAAGTATTCACGTGGTGCCAGGGTCCAAAACAGTAGACTTCATATGCCAAACCAGTCCCCGCTTAGCTAAAAACCAGTCCCTAGCTTAGCTGAGAGAAATAGTACAGTTATCGTATGGTGCACTGCAAGAACCAGTCCCTTTGGACTGGATGTCTATACATATATACCAGGTAGCTCTGCCTTTTGTTTATTGATTATTGACTGGCTCGCTTGGGGTGACCGTGACTTTGAGTAAGGGATGAGGCAGTCAGGCCCCGTTCGGCTTACCTTATAATCGGTACTATTCAGCTTGTTTTTTCAGCCGGAACAGTATTTTTCTCTCACAACAATTCAGTTAGAACAGTGTTTTTCAGCCAAATTTCAACGAGCTACGGTTCATATGGCTTCCGCTGTTTCTGTACAGCAATAATTGGGGCTGTTCAATGCAGGCTTCCTTCATCGTCAGTTTAGGCCCTGTTTGGATCTAGTTTAGGGAGACTATTTGCATGTCCTATTGGTAGACGCATGAAACACCTCATGCTCAAGACCTCAGCTCTTTTATTTGCCCATCGAATTTTTCAATAATATAATCTCGAATTGAGAAATGAGCCAACCTGAAGTTCTACTACTTGAAAAGTTGTGCAATTTTGTACATCAGCCGGTCTCCTTGTAGCTAGAATGAGGAAACGACGACGATGACGAACGACTCGGCTCACGGGTCGTCTCCCCTGCATGTGTTGCTGACTTGCTGCTTGGTGGTTGCCAATTAAAGGCTGCACCCACAGAGGACGGTGGGTCTCCACCAAACGTCGTGCGTTATGCTAGTGGTGACGAGACACTGCACGACAGTTCCATGATTGAGAAAAAGGATGTTAATGTTTATATACTATCTATATGCATGGTTCATTCAAGCGTTCACGATGGTGATCCATGATGTTGGGCGTTGGAACCTGGGCGCTGGCACAATGTAAATAAGGCGAGTCCCAATGAGTATTTCAAAGGAGTTTCATTCTTATTTAATGCTCTAACATATTAGCAAGCTTGCTGAGTTGACTACAAGAAAGGTCCCTCTAGGCATGTTTTCGTAGTAGCGCAGGTTAAAAGCATCTTTATATGAGTACCTAAAGACGCTTCTTGAAACGATTTTGAGAACGACCCAATATGACAAGATATTAGACACATTTTCACTGTCAAAAGGCACCTAAAGACACTTATTATAATGATATTGAAAATGTCTCAAAATGACACGGTGTTAGACATGCTTTTAATCGTCATGAGCAAATAGACACGTTACAAAGTGTATATATCAAACAACGTTTCATTATCAATTAGAGATGCTTTTTGATGCAGTACCCTAAAGATGTCTCAAAATGACACGAAGTTAGACACACTTTAAACTGTTAGTAGGGTTTACATATGCTGCAAAGCATATCAAACAATCATGCATAGCCACATAATGATGCATGTTTATATAGGCCCCGTTTGGCTTGCTAAATTGTGGCTGAAAACACTGTTCTGGCTGAATTCTTGTGAGAGAAAAACATTGTTTCGGCTGAAAAAAATAAGTTGCATAGTGCCGTTTTCTGGGTAAGCCGAATGGGGCCATAATAATGAAACCACCTCAAAATGAAACAAAATTTGACACTTTGGACTGTCGGTAGCATGTAGACACATTCTA